CAGACACAACGACCACCCGTTTACCACGATCGACAACGACAACGACGACAGTGATTCGAACTGTGCGACTATGTGAGTGATATGAGGAACTGCCATAAGTACTGCAGTTTGCCACGAGGGTCTAATTTCCCATGAAAACAGTGGTTTCCCAATTAGTGAGATGCTAACTTGGAAGGTTAGCAGAGTGGTCGCAAAGCCTTGGGGAAAAATCTTGCGTTTTAGAGATATTAGGTACAGAAAAAAATATTTTGCCCACAAATAGGTAGTTAGAAAAAATGTAACTGGTACGTCTAAATGACAAGGGCTCAAGGATGTGTCGGAGGTTTAAGAAAGGAAAGGGGCGCGTGTGTAAAAAAAAGAACCGCATACTCTCTTGGTAAGTTGCAATAACAAAGAGGAAAACACTTATGGTAAACTGCAATCCTCGAGGGAATACAAACTCGTTAATTTCAGTCCTTTAATTGCAGTTTGCCAACAGGGTCTGCTTCTCTTAAAGATTGCTGTTTGCAAAAAGGGGCACATCCTGATTGGCTAAACTTATGACGTCATTTAGCATCAAAGTCCCAGTCATACCTAGCATTTTTTGCGATGTATTGAGATTAGTGTATCCTTAATATATTTTTTGACACTAGTTAAGAAATGACAATGGTAGAAAATCATGAAAAAAGAGTGCTAACATAAACTAGAATTTTCATTGAGACAGAGAAGTGCTACCTGTTATAAGTACCTTGGCTTAGAGATAAAGCTGTTTAGGATTTTGTATGAAATAATCTCTATGCTTTACTTGTTTCTGACTGTCTGATTTCTCAGATGCTATCTGATATGATGAGAAGAATGTCTGTTTCATATTACATGATGTATTAAATATTAAGATTATGGTTCGTAGAATGATTCAGAGCTACAGTGAAGAGATCGGCGAGGAGCAAGCTGGTTTTGTCAAGAACAGAGGCACAAGGGAACAGATCGTGAACATCAGTGTTAATCGAAAAGTGCAGGGAGCTAAATGCACCCCTTTATATGCGATTCATTGATTACTCCAAGGCCTTTGACTGTGTGAGCCATAGTCAGCTTTGGGGTATCATTAAGGAAATGGGTTTCAATGAACATTTAGTTCATTTGATGGCTCAATTGTACAGCAATCAACAATCTGCAGTCAGAACTACGTTCGGCGACACAAACTGGTTCACCATCGGAAGAGGAGTGAGACAAGGCTGTATCTTGTCACCATATTTGTTTAACATCAATAAATGTCGTACTGGACGAAATGGTTTGGAAAGTGTGATTATTGCTGGAAAGGTGAATGGGAAGAGAAGGTGAGGGCGGCCGCAAACGTCATGGTTGAAAGACATCAAGGAATGGACTGGTTTGAGTCTGAGTGAGGATGTTCGGGCAACATATAACAAAGAGTCTTGGCGTGTTGGCCACAGCATCGCGTTAAGCGACTTCTGACCGGACGGCGATAATTTCAAAAGTCAAAATACACTGACATGGAACTGACTTCACAAACAGAAGTGGACCAAAGATTAACTACTCTTCTCTTATTCTTCAAGTATTTTATGTACTAGAGGATATAACTCATCGCCTCTTACGATAAATTTAATTTCTTCTCTTGCAGCTATCGTGGCGCTTGGTGGTACGACAAGTGCCACATATCCAACTTGAACGGGTTCCCTTATGAAGGCAAACATGACAGCTATGCGGATGGTATCGAGTGGCGACCATGGAGAGGATATCATTACTCGCTAAAAACTACAGCAATGATGATAAGGCCAGCATTCTGAAGCTTCTGCTGTTGCTCACACACACAGACACACACATTCTATTAATATTCAAGATACCAAAAATATGGTTAAAGTAACCATTGTTTGGATATTAATGTATACACTGCTGCAGATCTATCTCTTGCAAAATCCATTATGAAGTTTTAAATGTCTATAATCTTAAAATAAACAATATGCCAATATATTTATTTCCTTACACCGACATCTGAATGTATGTTTAGCATAGATCAACTGTATGTATTGTAAAACGACCCTAATTTATATAACTTCTATGTCACCTAAACACAAGATTTGTGATTTTGATAATGTAATTAAAAATATTAAGACAGTAAAATATATTTAACATAAACACAGTAACGTGTACACAAAGATGAAAGGAAACGTTACGATTCACATTGTTTTCTTACTGTGGCAGTTTTCCTTTTAGTAAAACATATTTACATGATATTTCCCCGTAAAATAGTTAACTAGTTCTGCATAAAAAATAGAAATAGGAAAAAAGGAAATGCAAGCACCGTTAACATTCTGTATTCAAATAAAAATCTTCCCAGAACAACGAGGTGGCTTACATGAAAACGGCAGAAAACAGTCAGACCAAAATCCTCACCCGGTCTAGTCTAACGCAAACCGTCGCAAGTGGAAAGAAGCCCCACATTATTCCAAAAGTCAGTCCTGAAACCGATACAGTAAAGGCATGGGCAATTTCACCAGTACTGTGTACGCCCGGGCCCGAACGTACGCCTGGCTATCTGGGCCGAACCGCCGCACTCTGGTGAGAAACCTCGGGACTGAGAGGCATCAAAGATAATCAGATGCAATCCGTTCTTTCGCTTGTGGATGGGTCAGGTTTTCCAGGATGTAAATGAAAACTATTATTGTATGTAACTCCCTACAGGGGCGGACCTGTTAGCGCGCCGAATCGCGGTTGATTTGGAAGGGCATCCAATCAGGCAAGGGTGGTACTGCCAAATAACCTCTCAATAGTGAATTGAAGAGAGGCCGTGATCCTGCAGTGGATTAAATGGCTGTTGAACAAGCATCTGTTGTATATATAAATGTTTATATATATATATATATATATATATATATATATATATATATATATATATATTTAATTTCTTCTCTTGCAGCTATCGTGGCGCTTGGTGGTACGACAAGTGTCACATATCCAACTTGAACGGGTTTCCGTATGAAGGCAAACATGACAGCTATGCGGATGGTATCGAGTGGCGACCATGGAGAGGATATCATTACTCGCTAAAAACTACAGCAATGATGATAAGGCCAGCATTCTGAAGCTTCTGCTGTTGCTCACACACACACACATTCTATTAATATTCATGATACCAAAAATATGGTTAAAGTAACCATAGTTTGGATATTAATGTATACACTGCTGCAGATCTATCTCTTGCAAAATCCATTATGAAGTTTTAAATGTCTATAATCTTAAAATAAACAATATGCCAATATATTTATTTCCTTACACCGACATCTGAATGTATGTTTAGCATAGATCAACTGTATGTATTGTAAAACGACCATAATTTATATAACTTCTATATCACCTAAACACAAGATTTGTGATCTTGATAATGTAATTAAAAATATTAAGACAGTAAAATATATTTAACATAAACACAGTAACGTGTACACAAAGATGAAAGGAAACGTTACGATTCACATTGTTTTCTTACTGTGGCAGTTTTCCTTTTAGTAAAACATATTTACATGATATTTCTCCGTAAAATAGTTAACTAGTTCTGCATAAAAAATAGATCGGGAAAAAAGGAAATGCAAGCACCGTTAACATTCTGCATTCAAATAAAAATCTTCCCAGAACAACGATGTGGCTTACATGAAAACGGCAGAAAACAGTCAGACCAAAATCCTCACCCGATCTAGTCTAACGCAAACCGTCGCAAGTGGAAAGAAGCCCCACATTATTCCAAAAGTCAGTCCTGAAACCGATACAGTAAAGGCATGGGCAATTTCACCAGTACTGTGTACGCCCGGGCCCGAACGTACGCCTGGCTATCTGGGCCGAACCGCCGCACTCTGGTGAGAAACCTCGGGACTGAGAAGAATCAAAGATAATCAGATGCAATCCGTTCTTTCGCTTGTGGATGGGTCAGGTTTTTCATGATGTAAATGAAAACTATTATTGTATGTAACTCCCTACAGGGGCGGACCTGTTAGCGCGCCGAATCGCGGTTGATTTGGAAGGGCATCCAATCAGGCAAGGGTGGTACTGCCAAATAACCTCTCAATAGTGAATTGAAGAGAGGCCGTGATCCTGCAGTGGATTAAATGGCTGTTGAACAAGCATCTGTTGTATATATAAATGTTTATATATATATATATATATATATATATATATATATATATATATATATATATATATATACGTATAAATTTATATTCATATACGTAAATATAAAATTATACTCATACATGTACATATAAATTTATACTCCTATATATACTTATAAATTTATATTCATATATATGTACATATAACCATATCTGTACGAACATATATCTATATATATATATATGTGTATGTGTATGTGTGTGTGTGTGTGTGTGTGTGTGTGTGTGTGTGTGTGTGTGTGTGTGTGTGTGTGTGTGTGCATAAAAATATAAACTCTATAACACATGCACACCTTTACTTGTGGTCAGTGAGGAATTGAACGCTTCTTTCTGTTACTTGCCTTGCTGTTTGTCATATTTGTCACTGTATATACATATATGTTTTACATATACATATTAATTATAATAATAAATTTACACATATATTGATATATATGGGTTATGTATAAATATGTACATACATATAAATAAATAAATATATATATATAATACATGTATATTATAATACATATAATATGAATTATACATGTGTATGTGTGTATGTGTGTGTGTGGGGGGGGGGTCGTACTTAGAGAAGTAAGGATGCATGTATTTAAGAAAAAAAGTACATTTATTGACAAACAAATGCAATAAAAATATATGGACATTAAAGCGAAAAATACTTCCAATAACTGAGTAATGCAAATAATCATGAAACTACAATATTCAAGAAATTATAGTTTCAACGATAACTTCATCACCGTGAAGGTAAAAGGCAGAGGAGTTTGTAATATATAAAAGATAAATAAATAAATAAATAAAAATAATATTAAAAAAAAACAATTTATGAAATCATTCATTACTTAT